CCTCTCGTCCAAATATGGTCACACTTGGCTCCAAAAATCCAAGAGGGCGATGGCTGAAATGCTAAACTCAAGGCTTCAAAATGGGAGTCCACAAACCAATGGGTGACGTCACGGTGGCTACATCCATTATTTTCTACAGACTATGGGTGCTGAACACCATGGTGACAGTGAACAATGTGTCACAGTGACCGTAGACCGTACTGCTAGGTTGGCAATGAGCAAATAAAACTCAGCTCAGATTTGTTTTTCTACAAACAGGAAGTGGCACATTTAATCTTTTCAGCTCCTCTGTATGAAGATTTTTTCATATAACATTCATAAATGAATACGCATTTTCTTAGCTTTACGGAGAGGGACGGAAAAGATTAAACATGCAACTTTCTCGGTTGGCAACTTGCTCATTGCCAGCACAGATACAAAAGACGAGTATCCATGAGGTGTACAGAACAGACTCAAAAAACAAAGAACATAATACAGAGCCTTTAGCCAAAGCCTGATCTCCAAAGACACATGCTGCATAACAGCTGCATATCAACCGTACAGACATGAGAGTGGTATCAATGTTCTTATATAACAAGAAAGTGAAAACTGATCACCTTTCAAACATCATGTAAATCGTATACAGTTGTTCCAGTGAATGTAAAGTCATTTATATTTAAGGACTTTAGTCCAGCGTCCCGTTTCATATTACAGGAAGTCTCCTGACAGATGGTGCCAATTTACCTAAATCTGCTGATTGAGCACAGAGCAGATTTTTGAGATGGCCAGTTTGGGCCCGACACGGGGCTGAAAGTCATTTAGTGTGATGTTATCACAGCAGGAATGAAGCGCCGCTCAGGAGAGCTGTCTGCTCCGCTCTGAATGCAAAGTCTGACGACACTGAAGTCTCACTTGTTTTCACTATTAGAACATTAAATCTGACTAAAGGACTAATTCATCAGATTCTTTATGGGTCAAATGGTGGCACCTCTCATACCTGAACGACAGATCTAAATCCAGGCCAGTCGCCAGAGGAAAATGTTGTTATAGAACATTTCTGCAAACAACAGATACGTTACATTTGTACATTTCATATGTATAATATCAACCTGTCTGAAGTGACATAATACATGAGCTGACTTTTGCCCCTTTTACACTGCCAGATGTGCAGATCTGCGAATGTTGGGCCATTTTGCCGGCAAGCTGCGAGCGTTTAGACACACAGAGCCGGATTGGCGAGTTGATCCGAGGTGCCCAGTTTTCCGCCTCATAGGGTAGACATATTGGTGGAACCCTTTTAGTTTAAATAGACCGAGGCGGCCTTCTGCAACAGGAGGGGCTGTTGATGACTTGTGGGAGGAGCTGTTGATGACGCCGCACGTGCGACCCACTGGCAGTGGATAAACAGGAAACAGCTGACAGCAGGAATTAGCGAGCAGCTAGTAGCAAACACAAACCTGACAGACACTGTAAAGATGAGCAACTGGGGAGACAAGGAATTGTGAAGTATCCAATGATACCCTGACCCCAGAGCTCAGGAGGTAGAGTGGTTTGTTCCCTAACTGTGGGATTTGCAGTTCAGTCCCTGACTCCTCCTGTTCACAAATCGAAGCATCCTCGGGCAAAATACTGAACCCTGAATTTCTCCTGATGGACAAGGGTTCTGTACGAGTCCATTCACCTTTTACATGACAATGTACCAATCTAACATATCTGTGTTTGGCAGAAAAATACAAAGCCAACATTTATTCTGGTGATTGTGAATCCAACAAACTACGTCTCTCGTCCATTCTTCAGTGTTGTTGTTGTTGTTGAATGAAGCAGTTTCTCTTTTCAATACGACACCTGAACAGATGACGTGAATGAGCTGTGTGCTGCAGGACTGATGAACTGTGCACGTGTTCTCATTGTTGAAAAAGTAAGTCATTATGCACCATGCAGACTGGGAGAGTAAAACATGTGACTTATTGTTACAGTACTCTGGTCCAGTTTACAGTAAAAGTACACAATCAACAATCTGCATAGATTGTTCTGGGTCTCTCATCTCATGTGTCTGTGATTTTTTGTTTAACAAGTTTTGTTTTTTTTTCACCTGCCATGTCATTACCTGGGTCATGTGATGACCTCCTATGGTTCCTTCTATTGCAGAGGTGGACCCATACCTTTGTTATATGTTTTTAAAGTCCTGTCGAAGTATTTGAAACACGTTGGCTCCTTTAATGATTCAGCCACTACCGTAAAGGCTTCTTAATACTTCCTTCCTTGTTTACTATATTCCTGTGTATCCTGTTGTTTCCCGTTCTCCACGAGCACCTGACACAAGGCATTGATCTACTTTCAAATAGGAATTAAATAAACTAAAAATTAATGTTCAGATGAAAAGAATAAGTCAGAGAGGCGTGCAGTGCAACCTTTGCAGATAACGAAGTATTTTCCACTCGCGTCAGTCGGCACAGACTTTGGGGAACAGTTACTCAGCCCCTTGTGATCAGAGTGACTCTGTATCGTCCTCGATTTACCTCATAATAATGTGATTTTATGGAGGAAATCTAAAAATATTAGAAAAATGTCACTAATACACGAATTTCATGCGATAACATTTGTTTTAGAAAACTTTGCACATCATGGCAGTATTTGTTTTGGTAAAAGCAGAAATTCTTACTGCGCATTCACACCAAAAACGTCATGAGCGTCATAAGCGGCCGGCAGCCATTCATTTTCAGTGTACGCTTGCTACGAAGGGCGTCTGGAGCGTCGGCAGCAGCGAGCAGCGCGATGCCAGCGACCAGAGCATCACTGTGAAGTTGAGAGAAGCTCAACTTTATGCAAATGAGCAGCGCCGCCGCCGAAGCAGTAGCGAGCAGCAGCCAATTGCAAACCGTGAATATTCTCAAGGCGGGACAGTGAAAGAAAGAAAGAGATCTTCTGCAGCGCAGCTTGAAAGCCCCGCCCCTTGGCATCCTTCTGCAAGCCCTGCCAGAGCTGCCAGGCAGCGTGATGCCAGTGACCTGAGAGGCCGCTTGCGCTCATTAAGCTTTTGGTGTGAATGCACAGTTATACCACCTTTACTATGAATGAACATCGTTTGGCGTTTCGGTGGATATTACGAGATTTTCACGCTACGATAACCGTCTCAGAAAATATCCCGATATTACATTATTTTTATTATTATCAGTCAGAATGAGCCTTACAGGAATGAAAACAGAAGGGTTATTTTTGGTTGAACAAACATTTTATTACTATATTTGAAACTGGAAACAACATCATCCTCACTGTGACCTCGTCACATGTCCACATTTGCTCATGGACTTTCCACGTCCACATACGCTGTGCAAGGTACCCTGGGTGTGTTGGTTGTTGACGTTCTGGGACGCCGTGTCCACTTCAGCCTGTTACATGCATTGTCTGTTTTCAAAATACACTTCTGTTTTCACAGGAAATGTACAGTTTGATACAGTCTCTTTCAAAATAAAAGCACTGCGTCAGTACAACACCACAAATTGATGTTTTTTTCTTTCGACAACACACACATTGTTGGGTTTGGGAAAAAAGAACAGCTTTATAATCTTACAGGAAGTGAACACCGCTCCTGGGTGAAAGTCAGTGTTTGTTGGACCCATCCACCACAGCTCCTGCCTACCTCACCGGACTTTCACCACCTTAACTTTCCTTCTTGTCCCGCCGTGTTTCCCCTTAACACTGCCAGCCGCCATTAAACTATTGTGACATCGGCTGCGTATCATGCCATCACGTTAAAGGATGGCTTTTTGCGTCAATGTCTGACGCTGTATGTCTCTGCCCAAGTCATCGAAATTTCGACAGCCTCGGAGTGAGACCAGGTTGTCTCCCCATGTGCGTCAGTATCTGATGCTGACATCCCCAACAAAGCGGCAATATTTGATGAGCTGGGTTGTTGCATGCTGCCCCTAAAACTGATTTGCCTGGTGTGTATCATACTGCTGCAAACGTTGCCTCTGTGCGTCAGTGTTTGACGCTGACATCACAGACAAAGTGATGTTATTTGACGAGTTGGGCTGTTGCCTGTTTCCTCTTAAACTGACGCACCTGGTGCGGATCATACCACCACGAAGGGTGCCTCTGTGCATTGGTGTCCGACGCCGACATCACCGACAAAGCAGCAATATTTGACGAGTTGGATGGGTGGCCGCTGCCTCTAAAATTGATAGGACTGGTGCATATCATATCACCATGAAAGGTGCATCTGTGTTTCGGTGTCAGATGCCAACATCACCGGCACCGCAGTATTTGACGAGTTGGAAGTGAGAACGGGCTGTAGAGAGGGCTACACACACACACAGCTGACCAAACGCATGATCCTCCCTCAGGCTCATCCTTTACAAAGATACTTTGAAATAAAACATCCACCATAAAAAGACCTCATGCCAGGAGAGATTTTTCTCCTGCAAACTTTTTGGAAGGAAGCCACCTGAAAAGCTCTTATTCTAAAAACTGCAGTGCACCCTGGGTATTTATCTGCGCCTAAAATACTCCAACTGAGTGCTGAAGACAACTGGTCTCCTCACAAGATATCACAACTCAAACTGCGCTCTAACAAGACAACTGTAAACGGCTTAAAGGTTACACAGACAGACGACGGTCCAATCACTGAGTCAGCGATGTAACTGTAGACACAACGTGTACAGTCGAGCTCTTCTTCTTCTTCTTCTGTGGTCTCAAATGCAGCAGTTCTCATTATGTGAATAATAAACCCAACTATGTTCCTCTTCCTCTGCAGTGAGAACCTACATCTGCCTTTTTGCAGATGGAGCTATAAGTGGCCATATTAGGGCAGAAATCCAGAGTCTGGCAGAGGGGGCAAGAAGGGCGCACACACACACACACACACACACACACACACACACACACACACACACACACACACACACACAAGTGAGGAGAGTGAAGACAGTTTGAAACCCTTCCTTCCTTCACTGTGGTACCTGCCTTAACACACTCCTCCTCCTCCTCCTCCTCCTCCCTCCGCCTCGCCTGGTCAACTCTGTAAACGCATCCTCGGGGAACACACACACACACACTCTCTCTCTCTCTTTCTCTGTGTCACGCGCACACGCACGGGCTCATATAGGAGGAGGCTCCCAGCAGAGCAGCAGGCAGTGAACGGCGGAGCGCGCACCGGACCAGCTCGTTAACTTGTCCCTTCCTTCCTCATTCTCGGGCATCTGCAGCCACAAACCGGACTACCGGGCAGACTACCGGCCACAGAGAGCCTCCACCGGCACAGCAGACAGCCTCAGACCGCTCGTCATCGTCTGTTTGACTCCGGAGACTGCGGATTTTATCCTTCATCTCTTCCCGTGGATACCGAGAGTGCGCACCGCCTCCCCGACACACGCAAAGTGTCCAGACATTAAGTCTGCTCATATTTATTTTACAGCTGGGAAATAAAAGCCTGTGTCCGTGTGTCGGTTCCGCTGTCTTCTCTACACCCCCCTCCGGTTTAACTGCACCGGTCAGACTTGGAAAGAGCAACAGCCTCCACCGGCGCATCAGTGAGGTAAGAGATGCGACTGTGTCTTTGAGCCACATTATACAATTACAGTCATTCACACGGTGCCGACACACTGCAATGTTGTGTGTGCAGGCCTGTCAGTCTGCAGCAGTAATCACACAGCAATAAACACACCAGGCTGGCGCCAAATGAATTTCAGATAATATGCATGAATAATAATTTAGACTGTACTCGCGTTTATGACATCAGCTGATTATTGTAAATGTACTTTCCAAAGTGCAACAATCTGCACGGACAGTTTGACACTCTGCAGTCCGCCTCCAGCCTCCCAACGCGCACACACACACACACACACACCTCATACTGGGCCATATGGATCCCACGATTATTACATAAAACTTCATATTTCTCCTCTGCGCTTCCTCCTCCTCTGCCTCTCTGTTCCTCCTGCATCAGCTGACCCTGTTTTAAAGACTGAAGATGCTCGGTGTTATACTTGTGTCTCTGAGCAGGGGCGGCTGTAGAAACTTCTGAATCTGGGGGCCAAACTGTTTTAAAGAAGGGGGAACATTTGTGAAATTAAAATGTGTTTAGACTCTGGTCATTTAGTGTGATACATAAATGCCAAAGAAACAATGTGAGATATTCAAACATGAAATGATATCGTTAAATAGGTGTTATTTGTAGCTCCAAAGAGCGTCAACAGATTATGAGGCGACAACAACAGCCCTGTCTTTATAGGAGCAGGACACACACACTGACAGAGATGAAAAACACAAAATGGTTGTGTTGTTCTTTTAGTTGTTTGTGTCTCCTTGTGGTTGTTTGCCATCTCTTTGCAGCAGTTTTGCGTCTCTTTGTGGTCGTTTTGCATCTCTCTGTCGTTGCTTTCCGTGTCTTTGTAGTCATTTTCTGTGTCTTTGTAGCTGTTCTCCATCTCTTTGTAAACGTTTTACATCTTTTTGTGTGTCTCTCTGCTGTCGCTTTCCTTCTCTTTGTGGTCATTTTGCATCTCCTTGTCTTTGTTTTCTGTCTCTTTAGTCATTTTACATCAATTTGTCATCATTTTCTGTGTCTTTGTAGTAGTTGTCTGTCTCTGTATCATGGTTCAGTGTGTACTTGTGGTCATTTTCCATCACTTGGTAGCTGTATTGCGTCTCTTTGTGGTTGTTTTGCAGTGTTGTTTTGGTCATTTCTTTTAGTGGTCGCTTTGCGTCTTTGTGACCATTTTACTTATTTTTGAAGTTGTTTTGTGTCTCACTGTTGTTGCTTTCTGCCTCTTTGTAGTCACTTCGCATCTCTTTGAGGTCGCTTCCTGTGTCTTTGTAGTCATTGGGTGTCCTTGTGGCTGTGTTCCATCTCTTTGTAACCGTTTTACATCTTTTTGTGTCTCTCTGTCGTCGCTTTCCGTCTCTTTGTAGTCATTTTGCATTTCTTCGTGGTCATTTTCTGTCTCTATGTAGTCCTGTAGCATGTACTTGTGGTCATTTTGCATCTGCTTGTGGTTGTTTCCCATCTCTTTGTAGCAGTTTTGCGTCTCTTTGTGGCAGTTTATTTTTGTGGTCGTTTTTGGTCTTTGTGACCATTTTGCATCTTTTTGTTTGCATCTCTGTTGTTGCTTTGTGTCTCTTTGTAGTCACTTTGCATCCCTTGTGCTCATTTTCTGTCTCTTTGTAGTCGTCGTCTGTCTCTGTATCGTGGTTCAGCGTGTACTTGTGGTCATTTTCCATCGCTTGGTAGCTGTATTGCATCTCTTTGTGGTTGCTTTGCAGTGTTGTTTTGGTCATTTCTTTTAGTGGTTGCTTTGCATCTTTGTGACCATTTTACTTATTTTTGAAGTTGTTTTGTGTCTCACTGTTGTTGCTTTCCGTCTCTTTGTAGTCACTTTGCATCTCTTTGTGGTCACTTTTTGTGTCTTTGTAGTCATTTTGCATCTCTTTGTGGTCTATTTCTGTCTCTATGTAGTCCTGTAGCATGTACTTGTGGTCATTTTCCATCGCTTGGTAGTTGTACTGCATCTCTTTGTGGTCATTTTGCATCTCCTTGTGTTTTTTTTCCATCTCTTTGTAGCAGTTTTGCGTCTCTTTGTGGCAGTTTATTTTTGTGGTCGTTTTGGGTCTTTGTGACCATTTCGCATTTTTTTGTAGTCATTTTGCATCTCTGTTGTTGCTTTGTGTCTCTTTATAGTCATTTTACATCTCTCTCTCTTTTTGTAGTCGTCTGTCTCTGTATCGTGGTTCAGCGTGTACTTGTGGTCATTTTCCATCGCTTGGTAGCCATATTGGGTCTCTTTGTGGTTGTTTTGCATCTCTTTGTGGTTGTTTTGCAGTGTTTTTTTGGTCATTTCTTTTAGTGGTCGTTTTGCGTCTTTGTGACCATTTTACTTATTTTTGAAGTTGTTTTGTGTCTCACTGTTGTTGCTTTCCGTCTCTTTGTAGTCACTTTGCATCTCTTTGTGGTCACTTTTTGTGTCTTTGTAGTCATTTTGCATCTCTTTGTGGTCTATTTCTGTCTCTATGTAGTCCTGTAGCATGTACTTGTTGTCATTTTCCATCGCTTGGTAGTTGTACTGCATCTCTTTGTGGTCATTTTGCATCTCCTTGTGTTTTTTTTCCATCTCTTTGTAGCAGTTTTGCGTCTCTTTGTGGCAGTTTATTTTTGTGGTCGTTTTGGGTCTTTGTGACCATTTCGCATTTTTTTGTAGTCATTTTGCATCTCTGTTGTTGCTTTGTGTCTCTTTATAGTCATTTTACATCTCTCTCTCTTTTTGTAGTCGTCTGTCTCTGTATCGTGGTTCAGCGTGTACTTGTGGTCATTTTCCATCGCTTGGTAGCCATATTGGGTCTCTTTGTGGTTGTTTTGCATCTCTTTGTGGTTGTTTTGCAGTGTTTTTTTGGTCATTTCTTTTAGTGGTCGTTTTGCATCTTTGTGACCATTTTACTTATTTTTGAAGTTGTTTTGTGTCTCACTGTTGTTGCTTTCTGCCTCTTTGTAGTCATTTTGCATTTCTCTACGTGCAGCGTGTACTTGTGGTCATTTTCCATTACTTTGTAGTCGTACTGCATCTCTTTGTGGTTATTTTCTGTCTCTTTGTAGCAGTTTTGTGTCTCTTCATGGTTATTTCTTTTTGTGGTCATTTTCTGTCTCTTAGTAGTCACTTTGCATCTTTGTGCTCATTTTCAGTGTCTTTGGAGTCGTTTTCTGTCTCTGTGGTCTTTTAGTGTGTACTTGTGGTCATTTTCAATCACTCAGTAGCTATACTGCATCTCTTTGTGGTCGTTTTGCATCTTTGTACTCATTTTGCATCTCTTTGTAGTTTTTTTGTGTGTCTCTTTGGTCGCACTCTGTCTTTTTGTCGTGGTTTTCTCTCTCTTAATGGTCATGTTGCATCCCTTTGTAATAAAGCTGCATCTCCTTTTGGTTGTTTTCTGTCTCTGTAGCTGTTTTGCGTCTCTTTGTGGTCGTTATTTGTGTCTTTGTAGTCTCTTTTGTTTAGCGTGTACATGTGGTCATTTTCTGTTCCTCTGTTGTCATATTGCTACTCTTCGTGGTGCATCTATTTTTAGTCATTTTGGGGTTGTATTGTGTCTCTTTGTTGTTTTTCTCTTTGTAGCATTTTTGCATCTCTTTGTAGTTGTTTTGTGTCTCTTTGTAGTCATTTGATGGAGTTTCCAGTATGAAATAATCAGTCAAAGTCACATTCACTTCATACAGAGGTTCAGTAATCCATCCATGATACCAGTTAGCTGCCAGCTACCTACCAATCACCCTCTGGCTCTTGTAGAGTAGGCACCAGTAATAGCCAATCACATTCCAGGGGCGGCCCATGCCACCGCTCTGGCCCCGCCCCCTGGCTCTGAGTCTCTGGGGGCCAAACACACCCAGATTAGAGAGTGTGTGAACAGTGGGACAGAAACAAACCAGCTAAACCTGACACGCACTAAATCATTCCATCCAGTTCAGGCCTGTATTGATCAGATCTGATCGACTGGACGTTTCCCCGTGTCGGCAGAGCTGAGCTGGTGTGATATCAGCTGGACTGGTCCCAGTCACCACACAGCTCATTGAAGTGCCGAACAGATCGTCTGGTTGTAAAAGCTCAAACATCGTCTGTCAGCGTCTGGCATTTATTATCCTCGGCAGTATCTCCTCGTCAGTTTAACAGCAAGGAGCCTCTTCCTTCTTTCTTAGTCTCCACTCTCAGCTGGTCAGAGGAGCTCTGCCTGTTCCTTTCTATTTTTAGTCTCTATTTACAATGCAGCAGCTATAGAGGCACTCTCACTCAGTTTCCCTTCATCTGTCTCTTCGCCTCGCGTCTCTCCTTCTCTGCCATTCTTCACTTCCTTCCCTCGCTCACTTTTTTGTGTAATGTCCCTTTCACCTTTGGTTTCTCCTTCAAGCTGCTATCGCTGCCATCATCGTAGATCACGGAGCCCGACAGAGCGATTCAACACATTAAGCTTTGGTAGCAGCTCACCTCAAAGTGCCACCTGCTCCACTGACACACACATGCAGGATATTAGTGCATGAAGAGACGAGGGGGGTTAGAGGTTAATCTCTGGATGCTTTTGACCCAAATCACCACGCAACCTACATACCCCCACCCTAAAACAACCACCCCACTGTCCCCACCACACCCCCACCCAAACATGTCATTAAAAATCAGCACACACACACACACACACACAACAGACTGAACAACACATTTCGAGGCCCGGTGAGTTATTTAAGAAGTGTTTTACTGCTGGCAGATGGTCGCTTCATAAAACGGGGCTGTCTGTGCAGAAGAAAGATGCAAGTACTTTTTAAACTGGTGCTACGTGACCAAACAGAGAAAAGGAACTGTGGCATCGCTTTAGCTCAAGAAGTAGAAAACCTACAAATACCAGAATGCATTCTGGTATTTGTAGGTGCACCACCTCGCACCAATAAAAGCTCCTGCTGGTGGGTGATGTGATGCGAGCTTGGCTGTTTTTCCCCAGGAAACAATATCAGCTGGCAACTACCAGTTTCGAACAACAGTAAAACAGTTAAAGTTAAAATAT